GCACTTGCTGCTTTGTGATGGCCATGCCCATCCACTTCACTAGAGCTTATTTTTGGGGTAGGACTTATATTAGGTGCACATTTAAAAATCAGACTACGGCTTATTTTGGGGGGTAGGTCCTATTTTCAGGGAAACATGGAGCTAAAAAAAATTGGAGGACAAACCTTTAAAGTGGCAGTGCAGCTTTCATGCATTTTGAAATTTAAAACATGCTAGTTATGTAGCTTTAAATTTAAAAATGAAATTAAAACTTTTTTTAATCTAAAACTCTAGAAGGTAGATATTGGAGGCGGGTCCTCAGGGAAGGGTGCTTCATAAGACAGCAAAATTCATATTCTAGACAGAGAGGATCACTGATTTGAAAAGGAAATCAAAGAGGCCATCTATACTAAAATTGAACAGCTTTCCCTCAAGAGAGGGGGAGAGATATGCCACCACCTATTTCCTTTTTACAACACAGTCCTTTCATCAATCTCGAGAAGATTCTACACCTGTTTACATTCTGATTCAGATGACCTGATGATACAGATAAAGCCTCAATTGACCTCAACAATGAGGGGTCCTTGGTGCTCTCTGAGCTTGCTTGTTTTCTTGCAGACGTTTCATTACCCTAACTAGGCAACATCATCACCACTAGCACTGATGATGTTTGTTAGGAATGATAGTCATCTAACAGTTGGGTTGGAAATATATAAACCAGGATAGTAATTTAATACTGTATCTTTAAAAGAATGCTATAAGTGTGATTGGCTGCAGTTCCTCCAATGGCCATAAGATGGAGCCAGAAACCTGGTTTCTTTCTCCTTGCATTTCCTGTTTTGCCATATTGCCTGATCGTCGTTCTGCTTGGATTGCTGTGAGTTTTGCAACTGTTAGCAAACTCCGTTTACTGAACTCTGTTTATGATACTTGACTTCGTTTTTGGATTATCCATGGACTGATATTAACTGCTTTAACCATGTATGATTTGGACTGTTTGTTGGACTTTGTTCACCCGTTTACTGGAAGTAAAACCTACATTTTACTATTCAGTGTATCTGTATGCTGGTCGTGTGTTATTCAACATCACTCTCACTATGTTTCCCTGAGTGCACTCATTCTCCTAATGGGGAATACCTTAACAATGCTACCTAGTTAGAATAATAAAACATCTGCAAGAAACCAAGCAAGCTCAGAGAGCACCAAGGACCCCTCCTTTCAACCCTGAGCTACAAATATTCTCCTATATTGACCTCAACAATTTTCAGAGACCTAATGACCATCTCTCAGGGTGCTAACAACCAGGTGACTGCAAAGAATATAAATCCTTCCATTCCCCACCAGTCAGTTAGAATTGATGAAGCTTCTTTGATGACAAGTGAAACTTTTTCAAAGAAAAAAAAATCCCAAGAAAGTCCAGTGGTGTTTTGGAAAAAAGCACCTTTAAGACCACCACCATCTGGAAGATTGAGAAAATCTGTAGACATTTAGAGTGCTACAACTACTAAGTCTCCTTTCTACTAAACTTCTATCATACATCATTTAGTGGAGACTCCTAGAAAAGATTCTCCAAAGATAGAATTTGAATTTATTTATTTTATTTATATATTCTTTCTTAACAAGATTTATAAGGCCACCTAGCTCAAACAGTTGATACTGGTAAGCTTATATTGAAGGAGATGATTCTTTAAGTAATTGGATCACAAATACTTCTGGACTTTAAATATTAATACGTGGAAGTCATAATAATAGGAAAAAACTTCAAATGTGTACTACCATTTACTGCAATATCAAAGCATAACCTCTGGGTGATAAAGACCTCTGAATTCTTTTTTTTTTTTCATTTTAGGCAAAGAAAATTCAACTTCTTCAGATTGTTCAGAAAAAAGTTACTCCTAGCAACTTTGTAGTTTTATAAGTTATTCACATTTTTTTTAAAAAACATGTCCATGTAATTTGATGCAACAGCTATAAATTTGCATGCTCTAAATTCTATTGGAAATATAAATGAAATAATAGCACAATACGCTAATAATAGATGTTTTCCGAGCTGTATTGTGTTTTCCGAATAGTATTATGATGTCTTCTAACATTGACATAATGCTTATGTTTACACAATGCAAAATAGTGTACCTTCAGCAGCATGTGATTAAATATTGTTCTGCCTATTTATCATAAAAATGCTATCATTTGGGTTTTAGTTTCTTCAAGACTTACAGTCCTCCTGAAACCCCAAAAAAGATTATAGCATCAGCCCTTTAATTGGAAGGCCAAATGAAGTATTTATATTGGTGAGGAAGACATTAATAAAACCCCAGTCATATTTCACTTCTAACCATATTTTGGATTTCAGATTCTTCTTAGTTTCACCACATATCCCAGTCCTAGATTAGGCCTAGTTGGGGCTCAGCAAAATGTCACCTCCCATTTGTGAGATAGGAAAATCAGGGAGAGCATATGGGCAAATTATATGGTCATCCACTTCCCACTCATTGCAATGTAGACATTGTCAAGAAGATGTTTCATTGCCCATAAATTCATGTTTACTGTTCTGACCCAAACCCTTTTCCAATAAAACAAACACGAACCAAAGGGAACAGAAACCTTTTAATGATTCTTATGAATCCCTGTTAAAAGGCTGCTGCAAACTAATTAACTTTGATAAGCATGAGCCTCGCCAAAACTGTGCAAGGCTGCCAAGAATAACAGATAAGAAATATTTCACAACACAAGAGTCTTTAAATACCAACTTAAGATACTGTAATGTACACGAGGCTGAGTTTCAAAACATCTTTGCTTCCTGCAAAGAATATTCGCTTCACAGCTGGCTTTTATCTTCTTGAAGGAGGGGCCATTACCTTACAGTCTTACTCCTGAGTTGCCTGTGCTGCTGCAGCTGCTCTTTCCTGTGAGCAACCCTGCGTGCACATGCACTTGGCACAGGCTTCTCGGGAACTTCCTCATCACTGCTGCCAGCTCCCACAATCTCTGAAGGCAGCAGTCCACTCCATAATGGTCCTGGCCCCTCATCTGAGTCCTCGCTCTCCTCAGCCATCTGCACCTGCTGCTGGATAGCCACAACATTTACTCACCCACACATCTTCCCTCAGTTTGTCTGGGGCTTGGGGTTTCAGCTGAAATTTCTTTGCCTGAATATTAGATTCAGTTCATGCTGCTATCCAGCCATACTATCCTTCCTTGAAGTCAAAACTTAAGTCACCAGAGTACTTGTTATTGTGGTGGTGGTGATCCATTGAGTCACCTGTCACCTGGTGAAGTTTTCTTGGCAACATTTTCAGAATAGACCAGCCAGTATTTTCTTCCTGGAGGGAGAGAGGGAGAGGGAGAGACAGTGACAGAGAGAGAGACCTAAGGTCACCCAGTTGGCTTTCATGTCTCTGGCAGGGTTAGAATTCACAGTCTTCCTGCCTGTAATCCATGGTCTTTACTTTCCCTATTACATCACATTGATTTTCCCAACAGATTGGATATAATTGGCCAGTGTTGTACTTCATCTCCGTTTCATGGACTATGGTGTCAGTCTTATATATTTTGGAATTAAGACAAGGAATATTTTTAAAGTGTCCAAATGTAAGCCAATCAGTCTGGATGTGGGGAAAATGAGAATAGTTGTGAAATATGTATTTTCTTGCCCCTGTAAGAGAACAGCCTTCCTGCTTTTTTGTTTGTCTGAACTAGAAATTCAGTGCAAATCCAGTATAGGTCATTAACATAGGGCCCAGAAAGAAGAGATGGCAGAAATAATGATGTCATTAAATCAAGCTTTATGAATATGTAACGATGCCTTATTTCGCGTTATTACAGCTGTTACTTAAAACATGCTTCTGCCATTGTCCCATTGATTGTTAATTTCTGAGCTCTGTGTGAAGTCTCTGAAGACTCCCGAGAAGGAGCATTACAGGGCCTTTGAGAGATTAAAAAAGAAAACACAGAGAAAAGCCTTTTGGATCTGTGTCTGGGGATGTTGAAGAAAAGGAATTAATCAGAAGGGTTGAGGTTAAGCACTCTAAAGCAGAGGAGCTGCCCATTCATAATATGACTCCTTACATAAAGGGGAGGCTCAAAGATTTGTGAATGAGGTTAGAGCCCAGCATTTGATATGTAAGGCAGTTAAAGAAAGAGCTCTAGAGGTTAGCAATAATTGCTAGGAGGAGGAGGAGGATGTGGGATGTGGGGGAAGGATACGGGATGTAGGATGTGGGGGAAAGATATTAACAAGTTGCTATAATACGAAGCTACTTAGAATTAAATCCTCAAGGAAGATTTTGCTGTGCACAGGAGGGGAAGGAACTTGTAGAAGATAGAATTTGTGATTGGGAACTTCTAATCATTCTTTGTAACACGCTTTGAAGGTGCACCTCTTTATAGCTCAAGTGCAAGAAATGGCATCAAGTGTAAACGAGCCTCATATTTCTGCGGAAAGGCAGTATAAGCTTTATGGGTCTTCCTAACCTGATGCTGTGGAAATTGCCTTGCTGATGGAGGATGATAGGTGTTGTAGCCCTGAAGGCACCAGATTATAGGCCTGTAAACTTTAACACATTCTAAAAGTGGTGATACTTCATACATTTAAGGAAAACGGACTATAAATTATTAATCTATATCCCAGCAATAATTTTAGAGAGAGATCTGAAGCCTATAAAGCAACAATTCAGTTATGCAATGGGGTGGGGGAAAATCAAATAATTGGTTGGGATTGATAGAAATTACAGTGCAATAATATCTGAAAAGCCAGGAGTTGGCATTGGCAAAAGGTGGGATTCAGAGAGACATTCTCTTCTTTCCCAGTATAATTTGGCAAGCTGATCAACAAAGCACAAACTGATCTTTTTTGTGCCTAGCATTGTTGTATGCCTCTGGTAGTGGTATTCTACTGGTTCTGCCGGGCTGGTAGCGCTGATGAGCAGCGGAGACCGAACCAGTTTTCTCCAACATTCTGCTGTTGGGCACACACTCCTGCCCTGGCTCCCATACTGGCTTTTATCCTCTGCTTTTGAAAGAGAGCTGCTTTGCGTAGCACAGCAGATTGTGGCACGGCAGCTACTGAAGCAACAGGGAGAGTGCAGGCTTGCAGGGGTGAGTCAGCAAACATCTGCACCTGCACAAAGTGTGTATTTGGCGCGTGTGTACATGCAAAGTGTGTGCGCGCATGTGCAAAGCGTGCCCACCAAGCCACACCCACCGAACCGGTGATAAAAAATATTTGAAACGCACCACTGTAGGCCTCCAGTTTTCATCTGTTATATTTCTGAAACTGACTGGGCTCATTTGAGACATTTGAGAATTACCATCTGACTGGATTACAAGCACAGTGTGCATTTTTTTTTTAATTTCTAGGTTCATCAGGCTTGCTTTTGTATATATTTCAAAATATGCTAATTCATATTTCCTAAAAATGAATCTTTATATCTTTAAAAAAAATCTCTTTTTCTCTCTCTCTCTCTCTCTTATAGCTCCGCCAGCTCTAAAACTATCAGTGAATGAGACTTTAGTGGTAAACCCAGGGGATAATGTTACCATATACTGTTCGTTAACAGGCGGAGATCCTTTGCCTCAGGTAGTCTGGTCTCACTCACCTGGTCCTATGCCTCTGAACAGCCTGATTCACGCGGGAAATCTTACCATTTGGGGCATTCAAACCGAAGATTCAGGTTATTACAACTGTACAGCCATCAACAATGTGGGGAATCCAGCCAAGAAGACAGTGAACCTATTGGTGCGATGTACGTCTTTCTATTAATCTAATTGGGGATGGAGCCTGAATTTCCAGATCACTTTGTTCCTTTTAAAGATTGGAATAAATTTAAGACTGGTATTCAGGGCAGAAAGAGTATTAACCAAGCTTGATTTTATATTGCATTGCTTCCTTTCCTTCAGTCCTCATAATGTTCAGGTTTGTTTTCAACACATAAGTGTACACACACACACACACACACATATTGCTTCACACTACGTTACAATGAAAGGTGGGGGATTGATAGGAGACAGATGCAAACAAATCACTTTTCTTGTTTTTCTCCTGATCTCTTTAGTCATTTCTATCAAAGCGACTGCACTTGCCACATTCCATTTATTGATGGTCAAATTAATACATTATATTTGCATACAAGCATAAGGTGGCATGTTCAAAAATCATGTTTATATCCCTCTCCTATCAAGAATGAAATTATAGCAAGCTGGGGAAGGATATTCTATTCCCCCTGCATCATAGATTCAGTGAAAACAACTTTCCAGAATTAATTTCTGCCTAAGAAGAGGAGATGCTATTAAACTGAATGTTAAATTCTGTTGAATGTAAGAATGTGAATTATATAGTTTACTTTTTGTGTTATATAGTTACTCAAATTTTTATGCCCTGTCAATCAGGATATGACATGATACAACATGATGTGACATGACCCAACATGACATGGTATGACATATGTTGACTATTTGAAGATCAGGCACTGATATATTCACAAGTTTGGCCTTTGTATTTCCTCCAGCCATGAAGAACGTAACCTTCCAGATCACTCCTGATGTCATCAAAGAGAGTGAAACCATCCAGCTAGGGCAGGACCTAAAACTCTCATGCCATGTCGATGCTGTCCCACAAGAAAAAGTTTTCTACTTCTGGTACAAGAATGGGAAGCTGGCCAAATTCTCAGATCGAGTAGTTGTGATCAAGAATGATCCTGAACTTGCCCCTGTGACAAGCAGCCTAGAGATAATTGATCTCCGTTTCACAGACTATGGTACATACCTGTGTGTGGCATCTTTCCAAGGAGCACCCATCCCTGACCTTAGTGTCGAGGTGAACATTTCTTCAGAAACAGGTAAATTTTCATCTAATTTTTAATGTATCCAGAAGCCCGATTAAGGATAGAACACGGTTTAAAAAGAATGTACGCTTTAATCAAAATCTGTCCCAGGAGCTTCATAAAGATCCTAGCTCTGTTTACCAGATAGGTAGATTAGCTTTAATCACAGCGTAAATCCTTTTCAAATTATTTGGAGGGTTTAAGATGGAAGGCTGCACTGCTATGCAACTTCTCTCTTTCTATTCCAAATTTCGTGTTTTCAGATAAACTACAGAAAAAGTCAGGCTGAGTAAATTTATATTTAATATTTCATAATCGATATTATGTTGTTGTTTTTTATCTGATGTTTTATTTCTATTTCTTTAAAGCATAACAAACCTTTCAAAACAAAAAGGCATAAGAGTATAGCATGTTAAAAGTGAAGGATGGTGAAGGTTCATCTTGGAACAGTTCCCTGCACAATAGAAACTTTTCTGCATAATAGATCAGAAGCAAATTGGGGAGAAGGAATAGGCAGAGTGTAACCATTTAGCCATGCAAAGTGGCTCTGCAAAAGAGTAATTTTGTGATATTCTTTGAGGATGGTATTACTAGTGCCTTGGGAAGTTCTGGCTAAGAGTCAAATTTGATATGGCTACATCACTGAAACTAGATCAGGGTTTTGAAATGAATGTAATGGAAGTGGGTAATGATATTCATCAGGGATAAATCCAAGGCAAAATTATATAAACTTTCCCTCTCTACGCCCAAGCCCTCTCCTCCGTGCACATATGCACTGTGATGTTGTTGTCTTTTTAAAATACCTTATTTGTGCTAGTGAGTTTTGTTTATTTTATTTATTTTCACTCAAAACCATCCACGGTGTATTGTAGCGAAATTGTAGCGGGATTATAGTTAAACCTGCCCTCCATATGTACTGCTGTCCCATTGAAAATAACCTTCACATTCATTGACTAAAACAAACAGTGGTTTAGTTTCTAATGATTCACCTAATCACCTCTACTTTGTTTCTCAGAGGGATACAGAGGTGAGGCAGATAGAAAACAGAGCTTTCTGAAGTATGTTTGCAACAAAGGTCACAGGTGCCTATCAGAGAAACAATGGAAATGCTAGCCGACCACTTAAAACAAGTTTCCAAAAGAAAATCCTCCTACCACAGAAAAAATCAGGAGTAATCTGAATGGAGCATGGAAACACACACACACACACACACACACACACACCAATCAAGAACATAGAAAATAAGAACTAGGGATACAAGAAAGAAATTGAAAAAGAAAAGCATGTGCCTTTCACACTTCTTTCTAGAAATTGAAAAAGAAAGGCAGCTGTGACTTTTGCGCTTCTTTCTATCAAGTAATCTTAAACATTTCTCCATAAGCTCTTTTTTAATCACCAGATCCCAAGATCACCAATTCATTCTTCTCTCTCTCTTTTTTTTCAGTAAAGAATCCATATAAAGTTTCCACAGTTGTAAAAAAAAAATCATGGGTTTTGAAAAAGGCTTTACTATGTTTGTATTGAAGTGTGGATCGTTCCCCTAGTTTGTATTTATTCCTTGGTTTTGTGAATCTTCTTCCCCTCATAAGATTTAGCAAGCGGGTCATCCAGCATAAGGGTCCCAGAAAGCTGCCTTTAATTAAAAACTTTTCAAATGCAATTTACACATTTTTCCCATAAAGAAAATTGTCTCCTGCCAGGTGAGCATATGCTGGCAGTACCGAGCCATGCGGGTGCAGCTCAATCTTCACACCATATAAGAGAGGATTTGATGAGATTCCATAGCACACAGAAGACCTGCAAATTGAAAATTCACCTTCTTATTGCCTAGTGATATAGCTGATGGAGATATTGGATGCTAGACTTACATAAATATGCCTTTAAGCTAGCTACGTGCTATATTTTTGTATGATTAAACTCATCACACTGCGTCTTGGCCCTCTTACATTTATGGGTTACACACAGACATTACTTGGTCATGAAGATAAAAATAAATTTGGAACTTTTACATTCCATTTTTAAATCCTTTCGAAATGTAAACGTATAAAAATATTTGAAGAGAGAAAGAGGACTTCACAAAGAATCAAGGACAATCATATCAGTTTCCATATTTTAGTACAGATAGTCCCTACAATAATCTTTCCCGACAGTTGTCCTACAAGTTTTACTGAGTATACAATTCCCAGAATTTTTCTAGTGAAAAAAAAAAGTTGTAGTTCAAATATATTTGGAGATCAACACATAGAAGTAGGCAGCCCTGAAGAATCTGCATCCCCTAATTATAATCTTAAAAAGAGGGCAGAGAAGATGGTGAAGATTATGGAGAGCAAGTTCTGAAAGTTGGAAGAACTGAGGAAAGTAAGATTTAGAAGCAATAATTTCTATGGAACTATCAGAAAGATGATGGAACAAATTCATTCTTTGTATGCAAGACATTTGGAAGGAGTTTTAGACTGCTTCATAAGGTGACAAAATTTTAGAGCATTTTTAATCATAGAAATGCAGGGGTCATCTAGCTCAGCTTTCATGTCTTCACAATCTTTTCTCTTCTCCAAACTAAAACCTCCATCCAGAGGAGTTCCTCAGCCACTGAAATTCACTGGATTTGGAGGCCAATACATTAAAAATAATAATTTATTATAATGTATTTTAATAGTATAATGTTATATTATTATAATTGCTATGTAACACTACAATAATAAACAAAATGAAGAATAGAAAAGAGAAATGGCATGGCAAGGCAAAGTATTATATTGCCAATACATGAAAAAAACTAGCAGGCAAAGCAGATAATGAGACCTGTCAATGGCTAAGAAGCAAATTAAAGAAAAAGACCATTCTGGCTGCACAAAATGAAGCCTCAAGAACAAATACATACAAAACCAGAATTGAGAAGACAGAAAGAGACAGCAAATGCCAACTCTGCAAAGAAGTGCCTCAAGAAGATTGTATAAACCAGATGTGTCAAATATGTGGCCCACAGGCCAGATTCAGCCTGTGATAGGCCGCAAAGTTGGCCTGTGAAGTTGTCCCGGAGACAGTGAGGGACAGGCCCATGCTTCCCTGGAACCAGCCACACTCACCCAATCAGCCACAATGACCAGGCTATTCCCACCCTGGCCCCACAAGGGCAAACAAACAATTTATGCAGCCCACGATGGGATCAAGATTGACACCCCTGGTATAGACTGACTACAAACAACGGCATGACAAAAGGGCACTGGAATATCTTCAAGATGATACCATGCATCAACAGCAAGCAAAAACTGGTGAAACCACAAAATAGACAAAGTATTAGAAAATGAAGGAGCTAAAGTGCTTTGGAATTTTAGAATTCAAAGAGACATGCCCCTGCCACATAACATCCCAGACATAAAATTGTTGATAAGAAAAACCATAAAGTTGGAATAGTAGAAGTCGTAGTGCTTGGAGACAGCAGAAGAGACAAGAAAGAACAGAGAAAATAACAAAATACAAAGACCCACAGACAAAAATAGAATGCCTGTGGCACAAAAACAAACAAATATAGTATCAATAATAATAGTGTATTGGATGCAATCCCAAAACATCTGCAGCACAATGTGAACATCATCAGCATTAACAAAATCACCATTGGTCAATTGCAAAAGGCAGCTTTACTTGGAACAGCTTACATCCTGCGACAATGCCTTTAACTTCATTAAACAACACCTGCCTATCCCAGGTCCATCAGAAGGACTCAGTAGATAGATAAAAATGCCAAATCCAGTCTAAACATCTGCCTTACTAATTGATAAATAACGATAAGGTTTTTTTTCATGTCTCTTATCATTTTAGTTCTTCCTTGGAACTTCTCCATTTTTTATGTCTTCCTAAAATGTAGTATCCAAAGTAGAACATAGTATTCTAGTTATTTATTTATTTATTTTATTTATTAATTTATTTGATTTGATTTGATTTGTCAATCGCTTACAAGATATTAAGTATAAGAATAAACGTGAGTATGAATACAGAAAATAGGTACGAATAAATGTGGACAATAGGACAGGGACTGTAGGCACGATTGTGCGCTTATGCACACTCCTTACAGACCTCTTAGGAATGGGGTGAGGTCAGTAGTAGATAGTTTAAAGGTAAAGGAGTGGGGGTTTGAGGATGTAACAACAGAGTGAAGTAGTGCATTCCAGGCATTGACTTCTCTGTTGCTGAAGTCGTACTTTCTGCAATCAAGTTTGGAGCAATTTACATTGAGTTTATATCTGTTGTGTGCTCTTGTATTGTTGTGGCTGAAGCCGAAGTAGGCATTGACTGGTAGGACATTGTAGCAGATAATTTTGTGCACTATCCTTAAGTCCAACCATAGGCAGCGTAGTTGTCCAAGCCCAAAATTTCAAGCCTGGTGGTTTAGGGTATTCTGTTGCGAGTGTAGTGCTCTTCTCATGAAATACTTCTGGACTGGCTCAATTGTATTAATGCCCTATATACAGTGTGCATTCCAGACAGATAAGCTGTATTCGAGTATTGGTCTAGCAAAGGTTTTGTATGACCTAGTTAGCAATTCAGTATTACCAGAGGAGAAGCCTTTGTAAGATTAGATTTACAACTCATAATGCCTTTTTGGCAATTCTGTTGCAGTGAGGTCTGGCACTGAGGTCTTTTGATATGAGTACTCCAAGGTCCTTGACAGAGTGAAGGTGGTCAATGAGGTCCTTGACAGAGTGAGGGTCGTCAACAATGTCATATCCACCTAGCTTGTATTTGCTGCACTGATTTTTTTTACCATTGTGTAGGACAGAGCATTTGTTCATCAAGATTTGGAGTTGCCAATTGTTTGACCATTCAGACACATAATCAAGGTCACTTTGAAGGATGGTAGCATTGTCGGTGGTGTTGAATAGTTTTGCCTCATCAGTGAAGAGGATGCAGTTGCTTATAAGGTGATTGCAAAGGTCATTTATGTGGATTATAAAGAGTGTGGGTCCTAGAACATTGCTTTGGGGGACACCGCTGTTAACTGGAGCAGGGTTTGATATCGCACTCCCTATTTTTACTATTTGTTGCCTGTTTGACAGGAACGCAGTAATCCACTTTTGAAGGGATCCAGAAATGCCGTAAGAGTTTAGTTTCAACAGTAGTTTGTCATGTACCACTGAATCAAAGGCTTTGCAGAAGTCTATGTAAATTGCATCTATTGCTTTACCCTGGTCAAGTAGAGTAGTCCATATGTTTTTACAGTGTAGGAGTTGCAGATTGCAGGATAATTTTTTCCTGAAACCAAATTGTTTTTTGCAGAGTAGGTTGTTTGACTCTTAAGTGGAGGGTAATGGATTGGTTAATGATTTATTCCATGGCTTTGCACATGATGCAACACAGAGGGATTGGTCTGTAGTTTTCAACCAGGCTGGGATCACCTTTTTTGAAGATAGTGATTATGTTCTAAGTGGACTATGATTTCTTTTGATCTTGACACTATTGTTTCTGCTGAAGTAGCCATTGACATACCCTCATTGGATATAATCTTTTACATACACACACCACTCCAATGAGCTAATTCTTAAACATTGCTATTGAGTAGTTGTTCTTTCTTGTCATGTTTTTCCCAATAGTACCTCCAACCATCATGGTGCCCAAAGGTCAATCCATCATTACTGTCCGTGAAGATTCAAGAGCAGAGTTACAGTGTGAAGTCCGAGGGAAACCCAAACCTCCTATCATCTGGTCCAGAGTTGATAAAGAGGCTCCTATGCCATCAGGGACCATGACAGTGGAGACAAACGATGGGAAGCTGCATTTTGAGAAGGTGACTCAAAAAATGAGTGGGATTTACAAATGCCAGACAGCTAGATACAATGGCTTCAACATTAGACCTCGAGAAGCCCTGGTGCAACTCAACGTACAGTGTGAGTATAAATGAGGAATTTATTCTCTTTGATGCAGCCCATCTATCTTTATTGACTTTGCAGACTAGATAATTTTGTTTTGTTTTCCCTTAATAACAAAAGTAGTGTGCAGACAAGGGTTTGTTTGAGTTACTAGATCTTGTACTTCCACAGAGTCAGAAAAGTTTAAATCTCAGATTTAGTGGTTAAAATGTTACAATGGAATATATAATTTTATATAATATATAATATACAATTTTAATATAAGGCAGTAGAATAGTCAACCCAGAAACTGTCCTACGAACATTTCCCAGTTATATCCCAATGTTTGTGCTATTATAGAGATCTGAATGTATTCACTGGTATCTGATCAAATGTAATTTATGAACTGTCTGCCTATGATGAGTGGGGAAAGGGATGACTATTTAATCTCTGCTTTGTGAGCATGTCACTCTGTAAAGATATCCTGTGTGTCCTTGAATGTCCCAAGTTATGTTGATGTCAATTAATGTGATGCCAACCATGTTGCTTTTTGCATGTCCAAGAAACCCACATCTACCCTGAATCCATAACAGTTGCAGAGAATATAAGAAATATTTTAACATTATTTTATGATAACAAAGTTTATATACACACACACTTACACACATATATATGCAATTTTATTAATAGTATGACATACTTCAAATTAAAGAAAAAAGAAATCTAAAAATGTTGTAAACATATATCCCTCCCTAAAAAAAATTGTGAATCGTTGATCTAGTACCTTTTCAGCAAAGGGTGTATTCTTAATAATAGATAATAGAATTCTTTATTGGCTAAGTGTGATTGGACACACAAGGAATTTGTCTTGGTGCAAATGCTCTCAGTATACATAAAAGAAAAGATACATTTGTCAAGAGTCAAGAATCATAAAGTACAACAGTTAATAATAGGGTACAATAAGCAATCAAATTCATACTAGGAAACAGTCAGTATAGATCATAAGGATACAAGTGACAAAGTTACAGTCATACAGTCACATGTGAGAGGGGATGGGTGATAAGGAGTGATGAGAAGGTTAATAGTAATAGTAGTGCAGTCTTTGTAAATAGTTGGACAGTATTGAAGGAATTATTTGTTTAGCAGGTTGGTGATAGCATTTTGGAAAAAACTGTTCTTGTGTCTAGTTGTTCTGGTGTGCAATGCTCTATAGTGTCATTTTGAGGGAAGGAGTTGAAACAGTTTATGTCCAGGATGTGAGGGGTCTGTAAATATTTTCACAGTCCTCTTTTTGACTCGTGCAGTATACAGGTCCTCGATGGAAGGGAGGTTTGTAGTAATTGTTTTTTCAGCATACAGTTGTGAAGAACTAATGAAATGGACAGGATTGATGTTTAAGAGGAATATAAACATAATCAGGAATATCTATATATTCTGAATTGGTTTAAATCTTCAAGGCCAGATGATTTGCATGCAGAACACTGAAATAAATTAGTAATGGTCAGGCTGAACCTTAATATCTTATCCATGAAAATTCTGGATAGATGATGAAGTGCTAGATATTTGGAGGAATGTAAATATTGTACCAATCTGCAAAAATGGTGTTGGGGGGAATGGAGATATTGTCTAACAACAATACCCAGAAAGATTCTATAAGAGATCATAAATGGATTGTTTTATAAGCACCTTGAAGACAAAACAGCAGCTACTAGTGGTCAGCATTATTTTGTTAAATATGGATTTTGGCAACTTTTTATTGGTTAACTTCTTTAGCACATTTTGGGAACATAATATTAATAACATATTTTTATTTCAAGTAAGTATTTGAGAAAGTACCCTATGGCATTTTAATAAGCTAGTAATAAGTGAATGGCATTACAAGCAAATGGAAGTATCTTGAAAATTATCTCAGGGAAGACTTAATAGCAATTCCTTATTTCTTGAGTGGAATAGAAAAATAGAAATGAAATTCAAAAACATCTTGAGAGTTTGGTAAATGAAAAACTCAGAATAAAATTTAATAGAAGAAAAAGTCATTTAAAAAACAAATGAGATGCACAGGTGGAGGATACGTAGCTTGGTGACAAAACGTGTGAAACAGAACTTGTAATAATAGTTGATTACAAACTGGATAATGAATCAACACAATGTGTTGTGACTGCACAGAAGACAAATGCAATTTGAGGCTGTCTCAACCATTTCTAGATCAGAAAAATTAATCATTCATCTTATTGTGAATTGAGACAGATCCCATCTTGAGTATCACGTCCAATTTCTGAATACCACATTCTAAAAACTCAGACAAATTGGAATTTTGCAGTGAGGGTGATCAGAGGATTAAAAATGATGTCCTACGAAAAGAATTTGAAAGAGCAGGGCAAAGTAGCTTTCAGAAAGGAGGATGGTCAGAGAGTGTGATAACACTCTTCAAATAAGCACTCTTCAAATATAATAAAGTCAAGAGCTGCTCTCCATCATTCCACGGTGTATGATATAAAATAATGATGGAAAATAGATTGAAATTAAATGTTAGGGGAGAAAAGTTCAGTAAGAGCAGTTTAACAATAGAACCAGATGACCTCCCTTTTTAAAGTGATGTTCAGGTGGCAGCTAGGAGTAAGCTTTAATTCTGATTCCTGTACTGGACAGGAGGTTAGATTTAGTGGTCTAAATAATTCCTTTTCGACTCTATGAATGTCACATAGCATTAACAGTTCTCTGGATTTAAGCCCAAATTGTGTCAGTAATAGGATATGCCCAGACTGTGTGACTTAATGTTGCAACTTGTGAACTGCAGCTCCAGATTACAATCAATCCTTTATTTTTAAACTTTTTACTATGGTATGACTGATCCTTATTAAACATCCTTGGAGATTTCCAATCTACATAAGCAACTTGTTTTTTAATATTAAAAATGCTAAATCTTTTGCTGATGTACAAGAATATAATATTGGAGCTCATTATTCCAAAAGGTATTATTCATTAATTTATTTAGAATAACTATGAATCACTTCAACCACTCATGACTCTGGGCAATGTATATTCAAGACAAAATTAAAATCAACAACATGAGCAGTAATACAAAGGTCTCCCATATCAATCAGGATAAAAAGTCCTGATGGAATAGGAAGGGCTTAACAGTCATGCAAAATGCCAGGAGGAATGGGGCTTATATATACTTCCATACCCTTGAGATCTCAACAATTGGAACTCATGCAAAATGTCAAAGCATCAGTCGCATATACCAATAAATGTTTATGTTAAATAAATTCTTCAACACATCTGGTGATAAACTGAATTCAGTTTTAATTTCTACACCCCAAAAATGTGAAATGCCTTCATGACCACCAAGTGGATTTAAATTAATTATAAAATTACCAGCTTATTTCCCTCCCCCCAAAAAAACCTCACACAATTTATTGGCTATTGTTAAATGTGGTTACCCCATAATATAATTTAATAAGAAGCTTTATTTCTATAGTGACATTTTATATGTAACATAGAATCATAAAGTGGGAAGTGACCTAAGAGCATATCAAGTCCAAACTCCTGAACACTGCAGAATTAATTCATGATAAATAATTTATCCAACGTCTGTTCAAAATCTCCAGTGAAGGAGAAGAAATCACTCCTTGCAATAGCCTAATCCATTGATCAACAAGCTCTTACTGTCAAGAAGTTCTTTCTAATGACTAAAGTGTATCTACATCCTTAAAATTTCATCCCATTAGTTCTAGTTTTACCCTCTGAAGCAAGTGAGAATAAGTCCGAGTCCTCTGCAATATGACAGCCCTTCACATATTTGAAGACAGCATCACGTCCCTTCTCAAATTTATCTTCTACAAGCTAAATACGTCTAAGTCTTTTAACCATCCCTCTAGGACTTTCCAGTCATTTCTTCATCCTAGCAGTTGTTTTCCAGACTTGCTCCAGTTAAAAAAAAAAGAATTGGGATGTACAGGACTGAATTAAATATTCCAGGTGAGAGCTAACAAAGGCAGAGTAGAATGAAATAATTATTTCCCACAGTTTGAATTCTATGCTTCACTTAATATTCCGTAAGATATCATTATGTTCTTTGCCACTGCATTACACTGTTTGGACACATTGAAATCCACTAGTACACTCAAGTATTTCTCACATGTGCTGTTTTTGAGCGAGTTTTACTCACTCCTGTACATGTTTTTGTTACCTAGACCCATGACTTTACATTTCTCCTTGTAAATATAATTAAATTATTTTAACTAAACTAAGACTAACTATTGTTATAATTTAACTATTATTAAAGTAATAGATCCAATTCAAAATGTTGGTTATCACCTTTAAAGCTCTTCTTGGTATGGAACCTGGTTGTCTGAGAAACCATCTTGCTCCAAAGGAATTGGCCCTATTCACTTTGGCAGAAGAGGCCCTCTGTGGACCTATTGGTCAAGGAATTTTGATTAGCAGGGTCTAGAAAATGACCCCTTCCTGTTCTGGTCCCCACTTTCTGGAACTTCTTGTTACCAGATTAGAGATCCACCTCCAGTCTTCTGGCCTTCGTGAAGGGCCTTAAAACATGACTCTGCCCATTTGGGGCCTCAATGGGGCACACTGTCCTGGAGGTGGTTGGTTGAGTGAGATGCAAAAATTCACGTCCTCTGCTGTCCATGCTATTTATTTTTAACCTTTGTTTAATTGTTGTTAATGTTAATGTTTTTATATTTATGCTTTTATGGTGTTGCAAGCCACCCAGAGTCATTTTTGGATAGTGAAACTCACCCAAGTTCCCTGGATCCTGATTTTACCCTTTTGTGAAAATAGGAAAAACATTTGCCCTCCTCCAACCTTCTGGATCCTCACCTGTTCTCCAAGTCTTTAAAAGACTAAAAGGAGTAGTTCTGCAATTACCTTTGCTGATTCAATACCTTAGGGGTAATTCATCTGGCCCTGGAAACTTTAAATTCACTTAGATTAGCATTGATCCCTTAACAAAGGTGGTTCTTAATACTTCCCAGGATGCAAATGGAGCTAATATTAGCTTTTAAATTCAGCACAGA